CACCCACCCCTCCCCACCTATGTTGTTGCCATCTCTCGCCTTGCCGTTTCTGTTTGTATCCGGGTACCCCCTGCGGCGGCATTGGTAAGTTGCCATGTCAGCAGGCCACGTCAGCAGACCACGTCAGCAGGACACGTCAGCAGGCTACGTAAGTACGTCTGCAGACCACCTCAGCAGGCCACGTCAGCAGGCCACGTCAGCAGGATACGTCAGTAGGACACGTCAGCATTGCCACGTCGGCAGCAAGGGATACCACATCAGCAGGCACCGGTCTGGTCTATGCTGTTGCGTTCACAGACAGCAGTCATGGACCAGAAGGCCGGGGAAACAGATGAGGCCTATCAGGCCTGCATGTTAGCTTGGAGTACCGAGACAAAGAAGCGGGCAGATGACGCTGCCGCAGCAGCCAAGAAAAGGGCAGAGGATGCCGAGCAGGCACGTCTGCTGGCCGTGGAACAACAGCGCCAGCACGACGAGGCAGCAGCAAGGGCTGCCGATGAAGAAAGAACACAGCGTTGTGAGAAGATATTCACCGGAGAGCGGGCATTACTTACCATGGCAGCAGAATGGCGAAGCGAGGCCGAGAATAGCCAGTTGGAGGATAGCGCAAACAAGATAGCGCTCCTCCTCTCGCATCTCACGGATCTCCTGGCAACCTGCATTACACAGCAGGCAGAGATCCTTGCTCTCGACAACTCGGTAGCTCATCTCCAAGACCGCCTTCAGCGGGTGGAGCATCGACCAGTCGCCGCCGCCGATGCAGTCTCTTCCAACACTGCCGACCGGCTCACCGCATTGGAGATGCGTGTCGGCTCCCTCCAGGATGGCACACAATTACAGCAGACCGCGACGCAACAATTGCAGCAGCGGATCTGCACTACTGCCACTACCCCGAGTTCGGAGCCGCGCGAGACAGCTCCTAAGTTCGATGGGCATGAGATCTTCCACGACTCAATCAAGACAGATCCAATTCCATGGTTTCGCAAGTTCGAGCTCACGCTGCAGCTCCACAACGTCAAGGAAAACAAGCACCACGCTTACTTGTACTCTCGCTCAGGGGCCGCGTGTCAGGCGTGGTTGGACAACTTGTTGTCCAAGTACGGAGTTGTAGCAGCGGACTTGCACACCATGATCAGCTGGGATGATCTGAAGGCGGCGTGGCACAAGCGGTTCCAAGTGGAGCCGCCAGAGATCAAAGCCATGGACAAGCTTATGGTCTTCGAGCAAG